GGTCCGTTTGTTAAATCGGCGTCGAGCTGTGCTAAGGGACCTATAGGCAATTTTATACGCCTACAATCAAATCAGCTGGTGAGCTTGAATGGAGAAGTAAAGAACTATGAGAGTTCTTGTACGTGCAGTAATTTGCAGATCTATATCAGGAGATCAGATTTGTTGAATCTCTTTTACGTTAGAATAGTACTTATTTTTATAGTGATACCAAAAGGGTAGAACCATCATTGTGGCCGGGCACAGGATGACGATGAAAAAGCATGAGCTGGTGGCTGACTCAACTCCTGTTTTACAGGTGTCGACTGACGACTGGAGGAGAGATCACCTCAGTATTAAATGAGTAGTGGTCCGATGAGTCATGAAGACTATCGGGGCTAGAGGCATGATGACACCTGCTAAGCATTAAATACAACATCAACGTTGTCAGTGGGGGGAACTCGAGACCGAAGTCCTTTAGCTTGACCGAGAAATAACACCTTTCAAGTCATCATTGGAAGGCGTCGAATAGCATGTCGAGTTGGCTCGTTGCGAGTCGTCTTCGATAAGAGGGTCGACTAGTATCGCTTTTCGAGTCGACATGAAGGAATGTTAACTCGATGAGGCGGCTAAGTTGAAACTCTTATTGGTCTCGGCCATCAATTTAATTGGGGCGTTGCATGCAGAAGTATACATGTCTGTTGCTAGCAAAATGTTGCACTTGGTGATTGAAAATACCATAACACTAACCAATTTCCAAATTCATCAAACCAACTAGAATTGAAACGCCATAAAACTTTTCCATGTTTCTTTTGTGGGAAATTATGTTCTCGTGGTTGACATCGTGCTTTTTGCAACTATGCTCTCCGAATTTCATCTCAACGATTAGGATGATAGTCTAAAATTCTAGGCCTTTGTCTAGGATCCACCGGAAGATCCTTCAAGTCAACTTCTAAACAAAAATTCTTTGAAGAAGATGGTTGAGGAATAGATGGTTGCTCCTCATGACATTTAAAAAAAAAAAAGCTTCTCCATGACTAGAATCTAGAATGCAAACAATAACATAAGTATATTAACTAAATTAACTAAATTAACTAAAATTGAACATGATTAAATTAAAATTAACTTAATTAACTAAAATTCACTAAAATTAACTAAATTAACTAAAGTTCACTAAAATTAACTCAATTTGAACAAGATTAAACTAAAATAGACTAAATTAACTAAAATTAACTAAAATTGAACAAGATTAAATTAAAATTAACTTAACTAAACTAATTAAACTAAATTGAACAAATTAACTATTTAAAGATTAAAAATAATTTATAAGTGCTAAAACAATAAACAAATTAATTAAGTAGTTTAAAAATAAATAAAAAAATTAAAAATTTATCTTTGAGGAGGACTGACGGCGGCAGGAGATGATCGGATTCGGCGGACTCAAATTCAGCGACAGCAGGAACGGGTGCGATGGCCAAATGGGTTTGAGAGTTTATGGGTGAGAGAAAGTGAGATTGAGACTGAGAGAGTAGTGGAGAGTGAAACTGAGAGGGTGGGGGGGAGGAGGGAGGGAGGTGAGGCGGCTGAGAAGAGGGAGAGGAGAGTTTGACAGTTTTAAGTTGGGGCTTTTGGGTTGGGTAATGGGTTTGGGTACATTGGGTCTTTTAAAATTTTTTTGGGCCTAATACTAAATAAGAATTTTGGGGTCAGTGGGGCAAATGACCCCATGCTAAATCCGCCCATGTATATATATATATATATTATATATATATATATATATATATTATATATATATATATATATATATATATATATAGGGCGATGTTAGCATTGGGGCGTTTGCCCCCATTGACCCCAACAAATTATTATTTTAAGTTTTTTATATTATGTTGATTATTATAAATTGGAAGCTACTCGTATTTGAACTTGGTATGGGCTAAAACGAACCTAATCTATGTCTAACGAGTTTCAAGAAATGGATGTGAGCATTGTGAAGTGTGAGATATATGTCCAAGAAGTGTTTGACAAGTGTTTTAAATTAAAATATATCATATAATTGAAGACATGTCTGAATAAATGTTGCATATATCCAAGAGTGTCCATGAAGTTTGGGTATGGGTAAGTGTCGGGTATGTATCGGGTACGGGTACGGCTTCATGACAGAAGTACACGGGTAACATAGGTTGGAGCGACTGTTGCATGGCATTGTAAAAGTCAAAACAAGTGTAAGACCTGATGGGAGAAAGTGGAGTGCGATCTGGAATGGAATATGGAAGCCAGGAAGTTACCCATTTAAATCTAAGTATACATCTTTTAGGATCAAGTTCATTAATTCAAGGACTGCATCACCTTTCTGTTATGGAATGGTATTATTTGTCATTCATAGTCATGCTCACCTACGCATTAAGGAATTTTCTCATGACAGTCTTAAGTCATCCTGAATCGAGTGTCTTGTATCCCCGTCCATGCTTTTTAGCTTGTATACTTTTAGGATCAAGTTCATTAATTCGAGGACTGCATCACCTTTCTGTTAAGCAATGGTACTATCTGTCATTTATAGTCATGCTCACCTACGCATTAAGGAATTTTCTCATGACATTCTAAGTCATCCTGAATCGAGTGTCTTGTATCCCTGTCCATGCTTTTTAGCTTATAATATTCATGTATCGAGGAATATGAAGACTGACACTTGTTTCATGTCTCTATTTTTCTGTTAAATTGACCAAATTTTTCGAATTTATGATGGAAAATAGTAAGGGTGTACTGGAGTGTATAAGGAACAGAAGTAGTCTTGTAAGCGTTGTCATATTTGTATTTTTGAAGATTGAACTTATATTCCATAATGGATAAAAAATGAGTTGGATGCAGATTAATTATGAATGCCAGTCATGTTTTCTTTTCCTTTTTAAGTTAAACCCAAATGTGATGGAATGTCTAGTGATGAGAAAGTCCTTCAGTGTTAAGTCCCTTCTTGCAGTAAATTAAGAAGGGGGGAAAACATTTTCAATCATATTAATTACTAAGCACTCTGTTCCAGAATGTAATATTAAATAGATTTCAACCTAAATGCCTGCTAGGTGATGTTCTTAATATTTGAATGGAATATGTACTAGTTTTGTTTGGGTACATTTATTAATGTTCTGGATATTTTAGCACTATCTGTTTCCATACGCAGATTACAGATGGATAGATATCAAAGTCATAAATAAAGATATTGAATAGGATTATTTGGATTCATTGTCCAAGTGAGTTTAAAGAAAATAAGTTCAGTGTTGGAGCCCAACATTTAAACAAAAAGCTAATGACTAAAGTTACATGATTATTTTTATTACCTCTGTGTTACCTATATATTTTTATCTGTGTTGCAGATGACTCCATGTATGTTGGGAAGTCGGTGATATATTGATATACACATTCTTGACATGTTTAAAGTTGTATGTATTTGAACCACTCTTATTAACACATTTAAGTTTACTTTTTTTTAATAAAAAAAGTAGTTTGCCGCTTTCTTCCTAAATTTGTGATAGTGGATATCTATTCCCTACCATTGAGAATACTGGACGAGATACTTTGTTACTGGGGCTCCTTGTTTTCATTTATTGGAGGAATGGAGGGGTTTCATTAAGGTTTGGTGTTAAATGTATAGAAAATCTAAAACTGCCTAGCATTTTAAGATATTTCCCCCTTATTTTTGATGAATTAGTATTTCTACAATTAAGACCAAAAACTCAAATTTGAAGCTGTCAAAAGGTCCAAAACAGTTGAAACCAAAATTCTGTATGAGGCAAAGGCCAAAATTGAGATGTAAGCCAAGCATTCAGATTTTGCTTTTGAGGAGCAGGGGTGCAGTTAAATAGCTTGAGAGCTCCCTCTACTGGACAATAAGTTTCCCAAAAACTCTGCTCATTGTTTCAGATGCATGTTTTCATATTGATGACATTATTGACTTACGTTGGTCACCTTCCGGCTTGATCCTGTTACATTCTTTTTAAAACCATATTCTAACTGATTTTCCAGAATTGAGTTTAAGTTTCTTCTTTCAGTGAAGTAAGGGTTGAAGGATTGGAGACAATGGATTACCTTGACAACCTGAAGGGAAATGAACGTTTCACAGAACAAGGAGATGCTCTTACTTTTGAATCTGAGGTGACTAGAAAGCATAGAATTATTAGACTGCTACTCATTGTACCATTTGAGTCTAACATTCCTCTTTGTTAACTTCCGTTAGTCATTGAATAATTCATGTTATTTCTTATTGCATTTGAGATTTTTAAAAACTGATTCAAGGAAGTAAAGCTCTGCATTTGACCAATTGGCATATACTTAAATCTTCTTTTGTGCAGTGGTATGGAATCCTTGGGATAAGAAGGCCAAAGCCATGGCAGATTTTGGGGATGATGAGTACAAGCACATGCTATGCATAGAGGCTGCTGCTATCGAGAAGCCTATCACTCTGAAGCCTGGGGAGGAATGGAAAGGAAGTCAAGAATTCTGTGCAGTTCCTTCCAGTTATTGTAGCGGACAGTTGGATCCTCAGAAGGTTCTTCATGGTTAAAAGACAATCTACCCTCTTGGTGCACATCCTGTACAGGTACCGTTCCGTAATAATCTAGCCATTCATTTGTTCATGAGTAGTCTGGAGGTTCCTTACGTGGTTACTGGTGGTAAAAATGCAAGTCATTTATTGCATCTCACCATGGTTAAACTTACTAAGTTGGTGATTGTAAGAGAAATGAGGGGGTTGGTGTGGTGAAGGAATGAGAATGTTGGCGACCTGTATGAGATTGAATGTGGTAATAGAAGTCACAGGATGAAAAAGTTTTTTGATAGGGGAGAAAGGGCACTAGGATGTGCGTATAAACAGCAGCCCATATTTTTCACTCCCTTTTTATTTGATTCTGAAGTCAAGGATTCTGTTAAAGTTGTTTCCTACCTATATTTCATCTAGAATAACCTCCACGATTTTTCCCCATTTGCAGGGCACATAATCTATAGCTGCTGAATTGGCGTTTGGCAGCGACTACTACTGTTCTTTGTTCTTTTTTCTCAGAAATTTCTTTTTTTTTTATCTTTGTTCATGGAAGATTAAGAGAATCCTCTGCTAAATAATAGTACCGAATTTTGATATAATATATTGCTCATGGGGAAAGGAGTCCTGCCCAAAATCAAGGGGAAGTGAGAACCAGTGGAGGAATGCGAAAATTCATATCAAGTTATTCCGTCTTTTTTTCTGTAGGACATGCCAATATTTACTCAAAGGGCACATCTCCTGTGAAAGATTGATGAGCTATTGTGAAGCTACACGCATCCTCTGGATTCATGATTGTGTTGAAGAGGGCTGGGTTTGGGTTTGCAATTCATTAAAAAAAATGTTACAGTTGATTCTCTCTTGCCGCTTAGCAAATGTTTGAGTCTACTGAAAGAATTATCAGAATTATCAGCGTCGGTCGGGGTCCTTCTGTTTCTTCAATTTGTGTTCACAATTATTTATTTGAGAGTTTTTTTTGTTGGCTTTCCAAGAAAAGTGAAATGTCTTGGTTGCTTGATAGCCTCCTTATCTGGAGCAATTTTGGCAATTCCTCTATCTTATTTGTCTAGGAAAGAACTGAATCCCGTTTCAGCCAGTTGCTCACTTTTCTTTACAAGTAGAATGTGAATAAACTATATCATTGCTAATTAGGCTCTGCTATTTTGCACATTTTTACTTATTCAAAGACGGTCCTGAACATATTTGATGGATCGAGCACCCTCATCTGATCTACTATCTAGATTATTAACTCAACAGAATTCGGAAATTAGTTTGAAATGGATCAATTATATAAGAAGAAATTCCTATTTTATAAAAGAATTTTATGCATTAAGATATAATAATGAAAAAAAGTGTTAGATTTATTTTCTTTTCCTTCTCCTCTATATATATATATGATATTATAATAATTAACAATTTGAACCTCTTAACTAAATCTGCGTGGAGATTACACAAACTTGAGTCGAGCATGCGATTAGTAGACATCTGAATCATGTGTTCAATTGATACATCAAAGGCTCGCATCTACTCAATAATAGACGCTGATGGAAAATACTTGACGCACGGAGTCTATCAAACTCAGAAATGATGATTTTCTTAAAAAAAAAAAAAAAACTATTTCATACTTGAAATGGTTATTTAAACATAAATAAGTAAACAGACGAAATGATTAAAGATCACAAAGAGAGGGAAACAAGAAAAGAAAGGGAAATGAATTGAGAAAGGAAACTAGTATTTTTCTTCTGCTTCGTCCAGCTCTCTCAGCACCGGCCGATCGCGGGGCCGCCATCCGATTGGAGAGAGAGAGAGAGAGAGAGAGAGAGAGAGAGGAGCAAATATTTCATATAGAGAACTTGGAGAGAGAAACAAAGAATCAAGTAAGCAGAGACGAGCTTAGAGAGAGAGAGAGAGAGAGAGGGAGAGAGAGAGAGAGGACTCGAGCTTCGAATTCCCCTTTTAATCAATCACAAGTTGGAGCTTGGAAAGGTCAGCTTCGTCTCTTCTCTTTGATAATTTCTTCACTACTTCAAGCGCTTTGATCCGAAGCTCTTTACTGAATTCCCGCCCAATTTCATACTAAAATTTATCATTTTTTGAGTGTAATTAGGGTTTCCATCTGGCAAGAGCTGAAATCGAGTTTAATTTCTAGGGTTTTTGGGGGCTAAACCTCGGTTTTGCCCCAATTAGGGTTTTGTAAGAAGACCACTTGATTCCCGCCTGCATTGTTGTCTATTGCTCTTCCGGTGAAAGTTTTATGGCCCAAGTTCAAATTTTGGAAGAGGCCTAGTAAGTGATTTGTTACTATTGATCTGATGAATTTTATGGCCGTTGTTGATGAAACTCGGATCAATCTTGGGGAATTGAAGTCTAGAATAGTTAAAAGGGTTGGCCCTGATCGAACCCGCCTCTACTTCAGTTACTTGAATCGGTTGCTAGCTCAAAAGCTGACCAAACTTGAGTTCAACAAGCTCTGCCTATCGATCCTTGGGCAAGAGAATGTCCCCTTACATAATGAGCTTATTCAGTCCATTCTCAAGAATGCTTACAGTGCGAAAGCCCCTCCTCCATTTTCATCTAAACCGGTTAAAGATGGGTCCCGCCATGCTAAAATTGGACTTCCTCCCCCACGATAGGAGGTATAAAGACCGTTCTCGTTTGCTTGGGCCTAACGGGGTAATTGTTAAAGAAAATGGAGTTTTGGGTCATTGCGATTTGAAGAGATCAGTGCAGAAGCATAAAGATACGTGTGAGGATACACTGGACAAGAGACCGAGAATGGGATGTTCACTGGGAATTGAGATTGTAGAAGACGGGGAGGAAGTTGTGGAGCAATGCAGTGCTTTTGAGTTGTGCTCAAGAAGAAATCCTATTCAGGTGCCGATAGGGATTCAGAGACCATTGACTTTGGCAAGTAGTAGGGATAGCATTAATACAAGCTTGAGTACTGGTGAGTTATGTCATAGTGAGGACTTGATGAAGAGGATGGAGGGAATAGTAAGGGCTCGAGGATTGGAAGGTGTACCAGTGGATTGTGCCAATTTGTTGAATAATGGGTTGGATACTTACTTGAAGCAGTTAATTAGATCGTGTTTTCAGTTAGTTGTATCGAGATCAGAGCAGGAGTCAATAAAAAATCCAATCTTTCAGCAGCCTAATAAGAAGGCTGTCAATGGCGTTTGGCAGGGAAATAACATGCATATATTGAGCAGTGATGGCTTTCTCAACAGAAGAATAGAGCACATAAGCCATGGTACAGTATCGTTGCAGGACTTTAGGGTAGCGATGGAGATGAATCCAGTGCAACTCGGTGAGAATTGGCCGTTGCTACTTGAGAAAATATGTCTTCGTTCATTTGAAGAATAAGGCAGATCAAGTCCACAGAATTTTTTTTCCTTCTTGGAAGATACACGTTTTTTTGGTACTGAACATTTGTAACTGCTGGCCTTGTGGACCAATATGGATTGATCTCTTCTCAGCTTTGATTCATCTCTGGAAGATTACAATAAGGGTCCTTGTGCTCGTTGAATGAGATGTTCTTGGCATCATCATTTCACAAGAAACATTTGTTAAATTATCCAGTTAAGAGTTGTTTGTTATAAGTTAATCAGAAAAGAGGAAGACATGTTACCACGTGCGCTAGGTTCTCGTGCTTTATATGGTTGACAGACACTCCTTAGGAGATCTAAACAGTTTTGCAGAAATACTGATATGTAACTTGGTATAGGTACTTTTACACTCTATAAGTTTTTGCAGCATTTCTATGTATGTATAATCTATTAGTAAATTTAATTAATAGTTTCAATAGTGATAATCTCTTGCCATGCCATGTGTCTATTTTTCCAGTTAGCATCACTGTTCAATTATCCTAAAATTTGACATCACCTTTGAATAACAATTATGTATTCTTTTCACAGTTATGTATCTTTCTTTGTGTTTTTATTCTGGATATCCTTGCCTTGTTCATTGGTAATTTATGTTAAGTTATTAGGTATATGTGCTGCTGGAACCTTCCGTTCTTCAGTAATGAAATTTGCTCATGCCTGATGGATGTTATCGTTACCAAGATTGCCTAAGCGTTACGTATTATATGGTTCACACAATTTCTATTAGATGTTCCAGTTTTGTTCTTGTGAATATTCAAGAATATTGAAAGCTGATCGGATGTCTTCTCAAAAATTGCCTGTTCGTTCATTTTCTACCCATGCTAATATTGGGCAGACAACAAGGCGTTACTTTAATTTTTGACATTCTATTGACCTGAATTCCATTCTATATCAATTTTAGACATCACTCTTGGATAATGCTAGTATGTAAACAAGATACTCTTCAATATTAATTTTTAACTTCATAATAAATGCTATCACGTTAGATCTGGCCTAAAAATCTTTGTGAAGTTCATAGACACCAGATTATTGCACTTCTATAGCTACTATGACAATCATTATGTAGGCCTACTTGAAAATTTCTGTATTAAAATTCTAAATGTTCTAGTTCTTGATTCCTGTGACTAGCATAATGGGATTGGTATTAGCAAATCATACGAAACATAAACAAAAAGTGACATGCAATACTCACACAGAAGAACCAGAGTTGGTGAAGATAATGTGCCTGAGATCTTCCACAATCTAATTCACTATTTGAGGAATTGCTAGCTTACATGCATAGCTATATTTGTGTAAGATTTTTCAAATTTTGGAGGGAACAGGACTTGCACCCCTGCTGTTTGGTACATGCACAAGTAGGTTTATCCCCTAATTGCTTTTAGCCAAAAGGAATACGTTGATGAGTTTTCCCCCCTCTTTTAAAGTGACATAAGATGTATATGTAAGTAGCACATTCCTGTTTCCATGGTATATAGTTTTAAAAGTATAGCCCAACGGAAATACAAAGCATTTGGGTGGCTGGAACACTGATATCTTTGGCTTGAGCAGTCAATCGCTGATAATATTTTAGGTAGAAGCAGGAAGTTGATCACATCTATAGGTTTGATTTAGATAAATGTTTGTTTCTTTTTTCTACATTTGGCAAGATAAGTTGCAAAATAAAGTACTGGAGTAAGATGTCAAGATGGATAGCTGTTAAGATGTTAAGAGAAGTGCACACTACCTGTATCCAGTTATAAATATTTTTTGTTCAGCTTTTGCTATCATTCCTTCTATTAATTGCTGATAAGTAGTAATAACCTCACTGGGGATATAGAACCTTCGGTACTAAATTATTCTACGAGCATCGATGTAGATATCTGTCGGACATTCATGAGCTTTTGTGAACTCATGAACTCACATGTATGCACACCCCTCATGCTTCTGTGTGCAAATGTATGTATTGATACTCGGGCTGTGATAGGGTTCAGATATACAATGACTTTTTTCATTGACATGATCTAATCATATTTCACTTGATGGCTACTTTTTAACAGCAAAAGGTAAATTCTCATAGTTCCAAATGATCACCATGAGTCAGATCTTCTTGAGTTTGCAAGCATTAGTTTATCATAAGTTTGTACTACTTCTGTTTTATGTTATTGTACTAATGCCTTACTCTATCTCAACATATTTCCTTCTTCATCCCTGTTTCATCCTGGCTAATTGGTTGACTTGTCTATGGTGGGAACTTGGTGGCTGCTGCAGTGAAGTTTTAAATTGAGTATGTTTCTTTCAATCATCACGGCCTCTGTAAGTTTTTATGCAGATCTACCCGGCCCTTCATTTCCTGAATTGAATATACTGTCTGTGTATTTGATTTTATTTTGACAATGGTCCTCATGTTGCTGTGTCTCTTTTTCTTTTATTGACTTGTGATTTTTGCAGTAACTATTTTTATTTTAAGAAGATAATTTTCCCTTGGAGAGCCATTCTTTGTTGTTGTTGTTGCAATTATCTCTTTTCTGCTGCCGCTGTTAGTAAAGTAACCAGGGATCCTTTCCTGTCCTTGAATTTTTTTCTGTGTACTTTTATTCTCTCGATCATAAAGGTACATGATTGAAATGTAAGCAGCTGCTTGTCTGAAACTAGTTGTTCAGTGTACTATTATTGAACATCTACCAGCTTTTGACATATCTTCTTCTTCAATTGACAGCATTATTAACCTTTTTCTCTAGTATACTATTCATCAGTTAGGAAATCCAGAATTTGTGATATGGAGAAGATAAGAGTAGCTGTTTGTTTCCACACACTGAATAATTACTTGGGTTGGAAGAGCATTAGCAAAAGATGGACTTGACAAGAAATAAAAGGTGTGTATCTGTCTCTCTATTCTTCCTGAACTTTTGCATGCAATATTCTTAGTTAACTAATCTAGTGCAAGTTAATTTTTGTCTTCCACTTTTTCTACATTGTAAAAGTTGACATCGTTATAATTTCTCGAGATGAATCTATTCTATGATATTTGGTAATTTGTAACCTATTTTTTCTAGTTTATTCTTTAAAATATGGGAATAAAATTTAACCAATTCACTATTATCCGAGTATAACATTTTTCCGTGACATATCCTGCCGCCGAGGCCTTATGACTTGACTTGACTGCAAATAGGTATTGGGTATGTAGAATTACTCCCCACACATTGTGTCCCATTGCCGTGTCTTGCGTCTATGTCCATGTTTCTTAGGCGGCGATGTTTAGGGTTAAAAAACCAATCGACTTGATTTTATCAGTATTCATTTGGATCTGGAAGGATGACTGGTCATCCGAAAATTATGATAAGCACAGAAGCACTACAATTTTCATGGAGAGTTCTTTTTGAAGTTCTTCCATTTCAATGGTCAAATGCTGGAAGCTGTTTTGTACTGAAGATTCTACGGTAGCTTCTAGGTCATATTTCAAGTATTTGATAATAAAATTCTAACCTAATGGATCCAGATGACGTTATCTTACCTATACACAGGATGTTAAGAGTTTTATTTTTTTGGGGCTTTTGCATATATACCCCTCAAATCTTCCATATTTGCAAAATTATCCCCCAAATCTTGGTATTTGCAAAATTGCCCACCGATTCTCTTGCATTGATTTTTTCTACCCCTTCCACTTAACAAATTTAGTTTTTAAATGGAAAATTGCTGCAAACCTGTTGGAAATTATTGGGAACTTTGGCATTACCTTGTTTAAAAAGCAATATTATTCTTAGGTTGGGGTGGTGGAAAAACTCAAAATGCTAGTTTTGAAAGGTAATTTTGCGAATACCAAGATTTGAGGGGTAGTTTTGCAAATGCTAAATATGTGAGGGGTATATGTGCAACAAACCCTATTTTGTCCGTGGCTTGAGGTCTGACTTGTACTTATGTTTAATTATCTTGAAGTTTAGTTTGAGAATTGATGACTAATGTGCATAAATTCCCAGCAGTACTATCTGATCTTTCTCAATACTTGATGATCCTTCTCACTCTGACATGTTTTTCTGTGATCATCCATGTTTGTTCGTAAAATGAGATCTCAAAATTTGTATTAATTGAATTGTTTATTACAAATCGAAATCATTTTTACACAGAAGCAGAGAGAATTGATTCGATCTCTCTTTGTTTAACGTGGGTTCGTTGGGCGATATGATGCTTCTCTCGATGCTCGTGTCAAGTTTGCTTTCCTTTGACGATTCGAACGAGGTTGCGGACAAACTTCAGCGCGTGGTAGAAGTTTGGTTGGATGAGTTCGAAGGCCGAACAAGTGCTTGATTGCTTGTAGGTCGAGTATGCCGAGATCTCAAAGTTCGGTCCTCTTCTCCTGAGGATTCGAACAAGACTGCCAATAAGCTTCGTCGCGTGGTAGAAGCTTTATCGGAATTTGAATACCCGAGCTAGGATATTTGAGAACCGAGTGCACAAGATGCTAGGTTCGTCTCCTTGTCCCTGACCTCCTCTTTTCTTGTAGAGGAGAATGACTAGTAACCATCCCCTCAAAACGTGGAAAGTGGGCACAACCACTTCCATGTTTTAAGCTTTACTGGCTGACTTGGTCAAGCTGTGCAGGCGAGCTTAACAATTCAGACGAGCTTGGCATATGCATATGAGTTTGGCACATGCAGGCGTGGTTGGAGTATGCGGGCGAACCTTGTAGGCAAAGCTATCAGGCGAGCTTCAATCAATTCAGGCGAGCTTTAAAAATTCAAGCGAGCTTGACTCATGCAGGCGAGCTTCGTAAGTTAAGCGTTCAGGCGAGCTTAACTTCGTTCAGGCGAAGCTCAATGTTTAGGCGAGCTTAGTCTTGCCCGCAGAGTCAAGTATTCAGGCGAACTTGGCTTTGCTTATTTGATTCAGGCGAAGTCACACTATCAGGCGGACTTGTTTTGAATGTTCAGGCGAACAAGTAGATTTAGCTTGGTTCAGGCGAACCCTAGTCTTGCAGGCGAAGTTCAGGTGTCGAGGAACATAACTTGCTGCGAAGAACGAGTCATAACTTTCAAATCGTAAGTCGGAATTAGACGAATTATATATGAAAATTGATTATCTTGACGGGACGGGGCTGACCAAATTGACCAAGGTTTGGTTTGTCGCCGTCTGGTTTGCCAAATTCCCTCCGGTTTGAGAGATATCAGCGTTTTTATCCGTTTTTACTATTTTTAGTAATGTTCTTGCAGGCAAACTTCTGAACTTCTCTGTTAGGGATAAAATCAATTTTATTTTCCTACAAAATCCCCTTCAAAGTTTTCAGACCCAAATTAAGTTGCATGGGGTCTGAAATACTTTGAATATTAAAGACCTGCAAAATGATCACCATTCAGATGAGACGGTGAGCCTTCCAGCGAACTTGGCCATTCTGGTGAAGTTAAACTCTTCAGACGCAGCTCATGATTGTCACCTAGGATTTTTAGCAAACCCTCAGCTATCAACGGACTTGATTTATCTTTACCAACTGCTATTTGAGTTGGACTAGTCATGTTTTTACCCTTAGCATGGTAAGCTGTCGAGGATTTTCCCTTAGGCTCAATGCTAAAATTTCTCCTTTATCCTTAGCCATTCGATGCGTTGGATTAAGTGTTTGAACATGATTACAATAATGAATATTGACTCATCGCTTGGTAGGTCACTATTTGGGAACAAGAGGGTAGATAGGGGCTCATCGCTTGGTAGGTTACTATCAATGAACAACCATCATTTGAAGAAATGGCAGTGTAGAAACAATAAAGTTGTTCAGTGACATAGTAGTATAACGACTGTGATTGAAATATTGACACATCGCATGGTAGGTCACTATCTTCGATAGTTCTAAGGAGCTAAAACATTCAGAAAAGATCAGATAGTGAATCATCGCATGGTAGATTGTTATCTTGATCGAGTGACAAGTAAGGGTTTATCGCATGGTAGAACACTACTTGACGAAGTATTTTCAATAGGGAGATAAAATTTGACTATCAGAGGTAATCATTAACGTGATAGTATTTTGTGGTCCCGTCATCCTATTAAAGAGGATTGGTGGGCGAATTTGGAAGAAATCAAGTCGTTCAGTGACATGGAAGTATAACGACAGTGATTGGAATAGCGGCACATCGCTTATAGGCCACTATCTTCAACCGTTCTAAGAAGATAGAACGTTCTGAAGGGATCAGATAATGAATCATCGCATGGTAGATCGCTATCTTGATCGAATGATAAGTAGGTGTTCATCACATGGTAGAACTGAAGGAAATCTCGTGCTTATTACATGCAAAATATACAGCGAAATACTATATGTATAATTATATTAAGCATGTAGAGAACATAAAATACATAATAGGACCATCATAATTAAATCTAACATGATCCCTATATTAAAGAGAGCATACAAGAGTTAGTCATACTTTCGAAGCGTGATTCGATAAAAGATCGAACAACCCCTTAGTTCTTGCTCCTTGTAGTAGTAAATCTCCTCGTAGTGGATCTCCAAGTCTTCAAGTGAGCTTGATAAAATTGGAGTCTTCTTGAGACATAAGGCAAGATATTCACCCCGGGGTACTTTAAAATCCTACTACTTTCTCTTACTCAAAGATTCTAGAGTTTAGTAAGAGATAGATCTTTCTTTTTTATTCTCTTATGGAAAAAAAAAACTACTTAGCTAATTTTTCATTAACCTTTCCATAAGAGAAAGAGCTCATATATATAGAGTGAGATATGTCATGACTCATCTCATGAGTCATGCCAGGAGTCATCTAAATGTAATGATTCCTTTCATGAGTCATGCAATGACTCATCTCATGAGTCATGCAAAGAATCACGAAGAATCAAAACTATGTGCTAAAACCATGTTCCCAAACCATACCACCTTAATGACTCATCTCATGACTCATTAATCAAGGTATAATAAAGTGTGTATTTCATAAATAAAAATACCACATAAATACGGTATTTCGTAATTTTTCAATCATTGACTAATAAATCATCATATGACCAAAAAGTCAATGAGTTGACCAAAAGTCAACAGTTGACCAAAAAGTTAACTAGCTGACTAAAAGTTAACTTTATGGGGAAAATATTGGAATTCATTTCCTAAGCACATAGCATTCCGATTTTACCGATATACATAACCGTTTATGTGTATCCGGTAAAATCATATATGCGTATCAATCATACGCATCACTCCATAAATTGTGTTTCATAGGATTCAAGTACGCGCTTGGTGTGACTCTAGGGCCCAACTTAAAAAACTCGGTAGTGGATCATATCCATAAGTACAGTTGTGATAAATGTCTACAAGATGCTAACACAATTTTATCAGGACCACTCAGTGATAATATTGTACAGTCTGGTCTCTTCGTCAAACCATGTCAAACTATCGAGTCTAGGGTATGAAAAACTGTCAAACCCTAATAGCTCGATTAGTGTTTGTTGATATTAAACTCATAACCTATAAGATCAAACTGACACTCAGTTTATCTTATTTACCTCGGTCAAGAATTTCCTGGCTATAGTTATATCAAATAATCTTATGACATCAACCCATTATACTGGGAGAGACGAATCTCATCTTGGCATCTCAATATCTACTTATGTCTCGGGATGCACCCAACAAGAACCGCTATGCACAACTCAAATAAGAACTGTGGTTAGATAAAAGTCTAAGTACACCTATACTGACATGTAAGATATTGCACTCATGCCTTAGGTCAAGAGATTATTATGTACTATATCACTTGAGAACTTCTATTTAACAGTTAAGTATAATTACCAACTAGATGTTCTCAGAGAGTCGTTCAGTCAACTCATTCATTAATGAGTCACCTGTATACTATATCTTGATGTCTCACATCAATGATCCAAGAGATGGATCATC